TTTTAAATCGTCTAAGTAAACATCGTTATTTTAAAGATTAGTCACAGGCAAATTAGTTTCAATTGATAACATTAATAATTTTACTGTTATTATTTTAGATTAGGTGGGAAAGGTGGACCTGGTCAAAACTCCCAGCAAGAGTTACAGACAGAATATTTTCGACATTACGTTCTACATCTTAGGACAGCCTTATCTTACGCAGGTAAACTAAGATTATAAAATAAGGAAGGCTAAACTTGGGTCAACCTATTTCACTTCTATTGTGTTAGAGGATTTTTAACCAAATGGTTCAAATGGTTTTCATATCGTATACCATTTTAACAGTGTACGGTGAGTCGATGGCTCCGTTGGTAGCGTCACGGACTTCGGGCCCAAGGCAGCGATGTCGTGGGTTCGGATCCTGGTCACTGCCGCAAACATGTTATCAGCACAGTTCACCTTTGTACTGTAGCGTCTCACCCCTTGCTTTGCTGGATACGTTCCACGCACAGACGGGCAACTGCAAGCTTAAGAGAGGCCGCCAACCTCTAAAAAATAAAATAAAAAACATACGTGCTTAGTGACTCATTAACAAAATGTGTCTATAATTGTTCAATTATATTCTCAACATTGTGTTTGAGGTTAGGTAACGAGTATTCAGTTATGACTTTCAAATAACCTTAATCATTTCGTAAATTGTTGGACCCAGTTGATATGAAATGGAGATTTTATTTATTTAATAAGACGGCAAACGGTGAACTAATATAGCATGGCCCTCAATTGAAAGGTTTATACGATAGTAATTTTTTAACAATAGTGTTAAATATCCAATACGCTGAATAGTATCATTACCAGATGTAAATGTAAAATAGTTCTTATGAATTGTACTTTATTTTTTTTTTATTTCAGGTGAGGTTTAAAATAAAAAATACTATTTTTACTGAACAGTAAACTCAAAGTAGTAACTTTCAACTCAAAACAGGTTTATGTCTTTAGATAGGCCTACGTAATATGTTACAACATTATAATGTTCATGGTTTAATTAATAGGTTGGAATTAAACCAGGTACTTTATGTATAAACAATATTGCAATGCAACAGGATTGTCATTTATTTACACAAATAAATGGTTATGTACTATGAAACTTGAAATTAGCTACAAGCTGAAAATACTGTAAAAGTTTAAAGTCTTTTTACGAATTCTCGATTTGAATTATTATATCTTACTCGTACATTTTATGTTTAGGTCCAGATGGTCAGGTTGCCACAATCAACATGAAGTATTATTTCCTGAAAACTGGTTTCTTAAATCTCCAGAGAAATGGAAATCCAAAGGAATACGTATACATTTACGTCTACAAATGCACCGAAGATGATCGTAAGTCTGTGAACAGATTTTCAAAAAGAGTTGTTTGAATGGTAAACATGTCGCTTCCTACTACACATATCAACGCCATATGTTTTATTTCTTACACAAAAGATAATTCAATGTATAATTGAAGTGTCTTCCCCCAACTCAAATAGTTATTTGTGTAACTAGTATGCGAAGTGGTACTTTGCTGTGCACGAGAGATATGTTTACGCAAGAACCGTAGACGAGTGTGGAATGTTTCTCGAGTGCAGCAATGACAGTTTGCACTCATGTTACACATTATATTTTTCCTACAGATACTATAAATCATATAAATAATTAATATTGTACACACTGTACAATACTTTTTAAGGTTAGGATAAATATTTTACAAACGTGTCTGATGTATTGTTAAAAGCTGTTTAATTATAAGGTGTTGCAAAACCTAACATCGACGCTCGATATGTCATCTTCAGTGAAGGCGATGTAAGTACAGAAGAGGTTAAAGACGTGGCCAAACTAGATGAAGAATTAATGCAAAGATTTGGATTCTCCAATAAACTGGTGTTTGTAGCATAGGCTTGTACATACTCCAACGTAAATTACTCATACTTTGTGTAAAAATATGGTTGCAAAATAAATAATTGTATGAAATATGGTGGTATTTTTTATAGATAATTTTCTTTGTTTTCGTTATCAAATTTCTTCCATTTACGGTATGTTTTGCGAACTAAATCATAAAGCGTTGGTTATTTACACTCAAAGTTATTTAGTACACATTCCAAAATATAATTTATTGGAATTCTTATAACGATAGTTTTATCATTGAATGTTTAGTGAGTATTAATATGATGGTTTGCGAATCCTAAAACTTTACCAGTTAAGTATTTTTAATAATATTTTTATGGAACATTTTTTCAATTTGTCAACTATAGCAATGCGTTTTAGATATATTTGGAATACATTTAGATATTTTCTTGGTTTAAAACACAACCAAACATCATTTTCAACTTGTAAAAGTAGTTTCTGTTTTATGTAGTTAACATGTGAACAGTTGTTTTTTTAGTAAATGTACGAAAACATTTGTAAAACACCTCTTAGGCCCGATTTCACCAAATCCTGGCTAACGATGGTTTAGTTAATCATTGGTTAAAACTAACTGCTGATTTAAACCACAGTTAAGGAAATCTGGTTTCACCAATGAAAACATATCAAAACTAACTCTGGTTTTATAAACGAGAGTTTAGAGTAAAATCCAGGTGGCGGTGGAAGTGATCCGTCACAATACCGTAGCAAGTACACAGTAAACATAACCTAGAAAATAAATCCGTGTAAATGAGGCAGTGAAAACAAAACTGGAGACAATAAGCTTACAGGAATACAATAGATTCTGAGCAAAAAGTACAAAATAACAACAGAAAGCGAGAATAAATAGCAAAATAATGAATATGAGTAAATAAAGGAAAAGCAATTTTGATCAAACATATTTAATTGAGGAACAAATTGATTGAGTTTTGCGGTCGAGTCACGACTCAAAATGTAGCTTTTACGTCTGACCGAACGCCAAACAATTGTTTGAACGTTGGGTTTGGGTTGGTCAAAACCAGGAATAGGAAAAGGGAGTCTATTTTTTAACAAAAAAAAAAATTGTGGCTCTTTATCGCCAATCAGTCCAACGCGATCGTTGATCACAGAGACTCAATTTATATGACCATTTGACGCTTGCATTATTCATTAAAAAAAACGAAGAATAATTTTAGAGCACAAATCCCTTAAGAAATATGTCAGGGGAAATGCGAACCTCTATAGAATGCTCCCCTGATTAGTGACTGTAAAGACTTAATTCAGCTTTGCAGAGTTGGGGTGTCAAATCAATAAAATTGATAAATATATTATCCTTACAAGCGATTTTGTTGAGTACATTATCAAATAATTATAAGATATTGATAAGAGTTTAAATTTGCTTATTACTTAGAAAAAAAATACTTTTTTGTAGATAAGGAGTATTTCTAAACATATAAATAAATCGTAAAAGATCATGGTTTTTATTTAATTGAATGCACTTGTAGAAAAATATACGTACATAGGGCATACAGTACAATGAATTGTCTAAGAATATTACCAATCAGATTATTAACGATAAGCATTAAATTAACTATATTATATTGATTTCATAGTGTTTTAGGTTGAAGCAGCGATCCTTTTACCCAAATAGGATTAACCTTATTGGTCGTCTTAGGTTGTAGTAAATGTTAATAACATGTTAATGCTATAAAAGTAGTAATATTTTACTTTGAAATGGCGACCATACGAACGTGGGTATTTTAAGCCAAGTATGAATGGGGATTAGTGTAGGATGAGTGGCGCGATCCTGTAGTCTTGTTAGTGACTAAGGCTGACACGTTCCTTAGACACAGCAGTTAATTTATAGCCCATACAGCCAATGACAACTAAGGAACTTACAGTTTATTGTGGAATCCGAACCACACTTTGCCTTTTAATTGACGAATTAGTCTAATTATCAGGATAGTTCTGCGGATAGTAGTAGTACTCAATAGTGCGGACGTTAATCCACACAAGGAGGTATCATATCCACAGTTCATTCCTATAAATATCCACATTTCGTGTGTAATATAAGGTTACTTAATATTATATGAAATAGCCATAACCGGCTTGAAATGAAATAGCCATACCTTCATTGCGTGCGTTTTATTTCAATATACTTTAATTTTTATGAGATGTGATTCACAAAAATTAGTTTCATGGGCTTTTTAAAACACCGTAATCTATATGCTTAATACGATCCCTGGACAGTTTGTTCTAAATATGCCATAAGGGTTACAAGCAAATATTATGCATTAAAACAAGCACCTTGGTTTGGATATTTGCAAACTGGCCTTAGATTATGGACCTATGCCATAAAACTCGAAGCAAATCGAAATAAAAACTTAGGGTATTTATGTCTTATGTAACATTCAGAGAGTCCAGCTATTTCATTTTACCATTTTGCCTAAACAAAATCTAGCTGATAATTTCCAAATATAAATTCCATCTTGGCTCATCATTTTACGCAGTTATGACTGAAGAGATTAAAGTAAAAGTAGATTTTTTAATTTCATCCTATGCTATAAAATATTTTTGTAATACGTCTTTCTTGCCTCGTTGGACTAAGACCAAGGGATCTTTAAATACAATTTTAGTTTAATGGGGAATAAGTTATTTATTTTACGCTACTGATATATTTGAGTTATAGTCCAACCAGAGAAATTAAAACTCGATTAATCTGCAGGTTTTTACTTACATGTTATGATTTCAAACAGATGATGTTTTTGGACTCTTTAGACAAAACGAAAAAAGTAAATCAATCCTGGGTCTAGGTACCACCTGAGATCTAATGTAAAATAGCACATTCCCCTTATGAGAAGTTTGTTAATATCAAGTTATATTTATGAGATTAAATTGTAAAAATTACTTATGTGAAATTTTTATATTATTAGGTCCTATTACTATTCGTGTTTTTATAATAATTAGGACTATTTCTTGTATAGTTGAGATATTTTACAAATGATACATGATGTTGGATTCGAAAATAATATTTTGTTGGAGTTCGAGCATTTTAATACCGTTAATATAACCATACTTATATCACCTGTGTTAACAAACTTGTGCAACTCCACATGTGCCGTGTATTATGTAAGGCAACGCTATCGTACAGTGTTAGTCGGTTTGATCATTTTAGCTAACGAACCAACTAACGCAGGTAAAGATATTTCTTTAGTTTTAAAATATATTTCATATAAATTCTCACAAACCTTTTAGGAAATTTCTTTAACTGCTTGTCCTTGTAGCTATAGGTTTGTAGGTTTAAAAGTTGGAAATCTATTTCATATAAATTCTCAAAAACCTTTTAGAAAATTTCATTAACTGCTATCCTTGTAGCTGTACGTTTGTGTGTTTAAAAGTTGGAAATCTATTTCATATAAATTCTCAAAAATCTTTTAGAAAATTTCTTTAACTGCTTGTCCTTGTAGCTGTACGTTTGTGTGTTTAAAAGTTGGAAATCTATTTCATATAAAATCTCAAAAACCTGTTAGAAAATTTCTTTAACTGCTAGTCCTTGTAGCTGTACGTTTGTGTGTTTAAAAGTTAGAAATCTATTTCATATAAATTCTCAAAAACCTGTTAGAAAATGTCTTTAACTGCTTGTCCTCGTAGCTTTACGATTGTGTGCTTAAAAGTTTGTTTATTATTACAGCCAGGAGTTGTAACAATTGTAATCTGTTTGTTCATAACCATTATCATTATGACATAATATCGAAGCTGATAATAAGATTTTAACATTTTTTCATAAAAACTATTTTATAGCGCTCGCTTTATAATAAGAGAGGTAAATGAGAATCCACAGACGATTTCAACATTTGCTAACAATTGGAATAAGCAATAGAAAATAAACTGTAGGAATACCATTAAAAATCTCTAAATTATATAAATATATGTTTTTTTCATGGTCATAAAATGATTTTAAATGCCATTGATGATGTTAAAACAAATCTATATTTAAGTCTTGTATTAGTTTTAGGTAGTATTTCCGCTTAATTGATTATATTTTGCATAATCCGGCACTGATTTTACAGTATTACGAAAACATTTTAAAGTACATTCACTATAAAGTGGAAACTTTGAACAATATGTATGTTTGGACACTTAGATGTAATGGATGTTTTAAAGTTCACGATGGATTCATTCAATTATGTAGTGTTTTTAAAACCTTGATCGAATACCATAGATTTCGTTGTGGCTAAACATAGAACACAATTCACCAATTATTGAATTTAGCTAACAAAAAACTTTAACTTATCAATAAAGTCAAAAATAATGAGTTTTTAATCATAAGACAACTGATTATTAAATCATAAATTATTAGGTTAGCCAAAAGTTAATGAATATCATTATCATAGATAGTAATGTGTGTTTAACAGATACACCGAGCCACAAAAAGAATGTTATTACTGGTGATATTCTTTGCTGGAATCACAGCAGTCTTGAATGATGATGAAAAAATCATGGATGTAGGAAAATGTAAAGATATTGATGACCAAGAGCTGATGGATATTGATCCTTATGCTGCTGCGGTAAGGTTTCATAATAATTTTACTTACCGTTATACACACCAAAAGACATTTAACACTTCTTAAAAAATTGTGCATGAATTATAGCACATTTTCAGTTATACTCCTAAACATATTATAAACTAAACATGTAAAAGTCCAGGGTTGTGATTTCAGATAGTTCTATACAAATATAAATATGCAATACCTTAAGCATCTGATCAGGTCAGCTCCTGTCGCTTCTTGATGACTTTAAACTAAAAACTGAAATACAATTCATCGAGTGTGCTATAGAATTATTTGGATATTTAAGTATTACTGTTAACAAAAACTAAGAATGTAATTACAATTTAATTAGTAGACTCTTTAGAACCTGTGAGATGGTTATTTGAAGAATCATAGGATACCTATTAATTACGCTTGATTCGTAATGCTAAACTTGAAAGGATTGGTGGCACTAACACGAGTTAATTATATTCAAAATGAATTATTTATAAAGTTTAGTATAATTTGTTGTATATTTTTATTATTAAAGTAGTCATTAAGAGAACAGTGTTGAAATCTTTCCCGCATCTGACGAGATTACTGGCAGTTAAATAACTAATACAATTTATCGTTCAGTTAGTTATTGTCCAACTCACTTAATCATGTTAAATCACTTTTCATCACTCTGTCTTCAAAAATAGCCCATTTCCATACAGCTGAGATCTTCGAAAACCTTCAAATTCCATACACCAGAAACCCATAGTGATCAGCTGAATTTTATACAACATATTGTTAATTCTTCAGCCAAATTGTTTTTAGATTAGAAAAATGAATGGATAACAAAATATCAAATAGATTTTTTTAAGTTTGATGAAGTAGTTTTTAGATAAAAAGTATCGTTTAATACTCGTCACTAATCTCGATAGTGTTAATATTAGTAGATAGTTTTCGACATGCATGGGAAACACTATCGAGCCCCGAAATGGGTCACTTTCGGGACTAGTAGTGAAATATACTATTACCTATGCTCTGAAACTACTCAATAAATTAACTACAATGTTTTTTAGTTCCTTTCGAAACCAAGTACGTGGGCAGTCAAGTTTACCACTATCACCAAAGAAAGATCAATGGGTCTCAATTCAATGGTGTTCAAAGTTGAAAGGGAAGATGAGATAAAAACTTACCTAAAATTCGAGTGGCAGTTGTAAGTAATATTGAATTTACGTAAGGAAAATATAACTGACTATGTTAATCCCTATTTACAGCTGAGTTTTATACTAATATTATTTCTTCAGTTATAATGTGTTTAGATAAGAAAAATGAGAATATTAGAATAAATTAGGGATATTAGAAAACGTAAAAGTTGCATTGCTGAAGAAAACACAAAAATAACGTATTCGTAAGACGTAATTACAATTTTGTGACAGAACATTTACTAACCTATTTTCAACAACATACAGTGCTTACTTACATTAAGCCTTTAGTTTGGTTATATTAAAAAAAAAATACGTACAGAAATACTTTTTTTGATAAAAAAAGTCGTAAATAGGAGGATTAGGTCATTTTTTAACACTGATTCAAATTAAGGTTTTTTAAATAGTCTAAGTAAACATCGTTATTTTAAAGATTAGTCATAGGCAAATTGGTTTAAATTGATAACATTAATAATTTTACTGTTATTATTTTAGATTAGGTGGGAAAGGTGGGCCTGGTCAAAATTCCCAGCAAGAGTTAGAGACAGAACATTATCTACATTATCTTAGGACAGCCTTATCTTACGCAGGTAAGCTAAGATTATAAAATAAGAAAGGCTAAACTTGGGTCAACCTATTCCACTTCTATTGTGTTAGAGGATTTTTATTCAAATGGTTCAAATGGTTTTCATATAGTATACCATTGTAACAGTGTACGGTGAGTCGGTGGCTCCGTTGGTAGCGTCACAGACTTCGGGCCCAAGACAGCGATGTCCTGGGTTCGGATCCTAGTCACTGCCGCAAACATGTTATCAGTACAGTTCACCTTTGTACTGTACCGGCTCACCCCTTGCTTTGCTGGATACGTTCCACGCACAGATCTGTAGTCTATGTGGACGGGCAAATGCAAGCTTAAAAGAGGCCGCCAACCTCTTAAAAATAAAATAAAAAACATACGTGCTTAGTGATTCATTAACAAAATGTGTCTATAATTGTTCAATTATATTCTCAACTTTGAGTTTGAGGTTAGGTAACGAGTATTCAGTTATGACTTTCAAATAACCTTAATCATTTCGTAAACTGTTGAACCCAGTTATTATGAAATGAAGATCTTATTTATTTAATAAGATGGTAAATGGTTAACTAATATAGCCTGGCCCCCAATTGAAAGGTTTATATTATAGTATTTTTTGAACAATAGTATTCACTATTCAATACGCTGAATAGTAGCATTACCAGATGTAAATGTAAAATAGTTCTTATGAATTGTATTTTTATTTTTTATTTCAGATGAGATTTAAAATAAAAAAATACTCTTTTTATTGAACAGTAAAGTCGAAATATAGCTTTCAACTCAAAACAGGTTTATGTCTTTTGATACGGAATAGGCTATGTTAAAACTGTATAATGTGCATGGTAATGTTCATGGGATGTATGGTGTTGATGGCAATAGGTTGGAATTAAACTAGATACGTTATGTATAAACAATATTACAATGCAACAGGATTGGCATTTATTTACACAAATAAATGGTTATGTACTATGAATCTTGAAATTAGCAACAAGCTGAAAATACTGTAAAAGTTTAAAGTCTTTTTACGAATTCTCGATTTAAATTATTATATCTTACTCGTACATTTTATGTTTAGGTCCAGATGGTCAGGTTGCCACAATCAAAATGAGGTATTATTTCCTGAAAACGGGTACACTAAATCTCCAGAGACATGGAAATCCAAAGGAATACGAATACGTTTACATCTACAAATGCACCGAAGATGATCGTAAGTCTGTGAACAGATTTTCAAAAGAAGTTGTTTGAATGGTAAATATGTCACTTCCTACTACACATATCAAAGTCATGTGTTTTATTTCTTAAACAAAATATAATTTAATGCATAATTGAACTGTCTTCACCAATCTCAAATAGTTATTTGTGTATGCGAAGTGGCACTTTGCTGTACACGAGAGAAATGTCTACGCACGAACCGTAGACGAGTGTGGAATGTTTCTCGAGTGCAGCAATGGCAGTTTGCACTCGGGTTACACGTTATATTTTTCCTACAGATACTATAAATCATATAAATAATTAATCTTTTACACACAGTACAACACTTTTTAAGGTAAGGATAAATATTTTACCCACGTGTCTGATGTATTGATAAAAGCTGTTTAATTTTAAGGTGTTGGAAAACCTAACATCGACGCTCGATATGTCATCTTTAGCGAAGGCGATGTAAGTACAGAAGAGGTTAAAGACGTGGCCAAGGTGGATGAAGATTTAATGCAAAGATTTGGATTCTCCAAGAAACTGGTGTTTGTAACATAGGCTCGTACATATCCCAAAGCAAATTACTCATATTTTGTGTAAAAATATGGTTGTAAAATAAATAATTGTATGAAATATGGTGTTATTTTTTTATAGATAATTTTCTTTGTTTTCGTTATCAAATTTCTTCCATTTACGGTATGTTTTGCGAACTAAATCATAAAGCGTTGGTTATTTACACTCACAGTTATTTAATACACATTCCAAAACACGTTCTATTGGAATTCTTATAACGATAGTTTTATCATTGAAAGTTTAGTGAGAATTAATATGAAGGTTTGCGAATCCTAAAACTTTACCGGTTAATTATTTTTGATAAATTTTTATGGAACATTTATTCTATTTTCAACGATAGCAATGCGTTTTAGATATATTTGGCATACATTTAGATATTTTCTTGGTTTAAAACACAACCAAAAATCATTTTCAACTTTTAAAAGTAGTTTCTTTTTTATATAGTTAAAATATGAACAGTTGTTTCTTTAGTAAATGTACGGACTTATTTGTAAAACACCTCTTAGGCCCGATTTCACCAAATCCTGGCTAACGATGGTTTAGTTAATCATTGGTTAAAACTAACTGATGATTTAAACCACAGTTAAGGAAAGCTGGTTTCACCAATGAAAACATATCAAAACTAACGCTGGTTTTATAAACGAGAGTTTAGAGTAAAATCCAGGTGGCGGTGGAAGTGATCTGTCATAATACCGGGCTGCTATGGGACCAAGTAAACAGTAAACATAACCTAGAAAATAAATCCGTGTTAATGAGGTAGTGAAAACAAAACTGGAGACAACAAGCTTACAGGAATACAATAGATTCTGAGCAAAAAGGACAAAATAACAACAGAAAGCATGAATATATAGCAAAATAATTAATATAAGTAAATAAAGGCAAAGCAATGTTGATCAAACATATTCAATTGAGGAACAAATTGATTGACTATTGCGGTAGAGTCACGACTCAAAATGTAACTTTTACGTCTGACCGAACGCCAAACAATTGTTTGAACGTTGGGTTAGGGTTAGTTAAAACCGGGAAAAGGAAAAGGGAGTCTATTTTTTAACAATGAAAAAATAAATTTGATAATGTTGGTGGAAAACACTCTTTTCTACCGAGATAAAAGAGTGGCTCTTTATCGCCAATCAGTCCAACGCGATCGTTGATCACAGAGATGCGCCTTTACTAAAATCCTTGTGGGATAAAACCTAAAGCAATGCACTATGTGGGATAGCCTGAATACAAACTACTAAAGGGATTTGTATTCATTGCCTAAAGAAAAAGACAAAACGTTTTGATAGTTCATGTCAAATAATAAATCAATTTCGTATTAAAACCATTATACCTTTCTCTTATCCACCTAGTTCGGAAATCAACATAGGCTACTCTTCATCACTATCACTTTCAAAAGCTAATTCGTATCGTATTCTCTTCTACAATTAATAAACTTTAAACTTAAAGCCAGCTGATATTTACTTAACGAAGGATTAAAGAAGTTAACCGGTCAAAATTGGGCAGTTAATTATCTTACGACGGTTTAGTCTAAACTAGCGCTAACGGCGAGTGGTGAAATCCGGTTAAAATGTCACGCTGCCTTTCTTTACAACATTTTAATTATTTTACTAAATTTATATAACCATTCGACACTTGCATTATTCATTAATACCCCCGCCGCAGCAAACCTTCATTCTAAGCGAATTTCCATTTGACTGATTGGATTTACACTAAAATGTCTCCTTAAAAATATCACATTTATTCCCTATTTAAATAGTATTAGTTTAACGATTACTTAGGTTGGCTGCAACAGGGAGGGTAAAAAGTTTTTTTTGTAAAATGGTAATAGTTTAGTATGAAATGAATGCATTTTCCAAATTTGATCAAAATATATTCATAAACAAGCAAATGACAACAGTTTATTTATACTCCATAAGAATAACATGGGAATTTCAAATTTACAGTTTTTGGAATTTTCTCCGTAACCATTAGGCGCATAATAAAGGTTGAATATACTAAATTATTTTTTTTAAGCTCTACAAAATGGTTTCAAAAGAAATTGTGAAAATTTGTGTTTTTAGGGTCAAAAAGGGAAAAACCTATTTTTACCCCATAAAACCCCCCATAAACCCCCGTTCCTATCGTCCGATCATGCTGGTTCGCGAACTCGTTCGAATAAACGTAGGTATACACGTTTGTATCAAATTTCATCAAAAACAGACGACTTTTGCTCTAGTTATCGCGCTAACGGATACATATATATGAATTTTTGTTTTTGGTCTCTAGGGACCTCAAAATGAAAAAGTAAATCGGTCCCGGGTCCAGGTCTTACCATGAGTACTACGGTAATAGCTTATTCCCTATATGGAAAATTCGCTAAAAAGAAACGAAGAATAATTTTAAAACACAAATCCCTTAAGAAATATGTCAGGTGCAATGCGAACCTCTATAGAATTCTCCCCTGAATGTTTTAGTGACTGTAAAGACTTCCGTGAGCTTTGCAGAGCTGGTGTGTCAAATCAATAAAATTGATAAATATGTTAACCTTACAAGCGATTTTGTTGAGTACATTATCAAATAATTATAAGATATTGATAAGAGTTTAAATTTGCTTATTACTTAGAAGAAAAAAAAATCTTTTTTTGTAGCTAAGGAGTATTTATAAACATATAAATCATAAAATTTCATGGTTTTTATATAATTGCATGCACTTGTAGAAAGATATACGTACATACAGCACAATAAATTGTCTAAGAATATTACCAATCAGATTGAATGAATGAATGAATGAATTATGTGAATGAATGAATTATATCTATATTCCAACAAATTATTTACAGAAATTTGTACACAACTCCTATTTAAAGGAGAAAAAGATAAGTGAATTAAAAAAAAATAACATAAAATTAACCTTTGCATTACATCTATGTTTACAAAGCGTACATGTTTATAAAGAATAAGCCGACATGGGCAGCGAGCCTGTGCGTCAACTGTAGTTGCATCCAAACATAACATTATTTATCAAAAACAAAATGTAAATAAATAAATAACAGAAGATATGATGAGGAGTTACAAGAGCAAACCATGTGAAAAAATTCTAGTGGCATAATTAAGTTTAAATAAAAAATAATATAACTGTAATAGTGCCAGAGGTACCACGGTTTTCAAAGTGTGTCTAGAGGGGGGTGGGGCGGGTGGTGGAGAACGAGTCGTCAGAGTACAATGGTCAGGTCGCATGTCGTGTTAGGCCCCGTTTATGCACCAAGTGCGGGAGCGGTGCGATAGCGGGCCCGCTCCCGCTGTAAATGAGTCTGTTTATGCACGAAGAGCGATAGCGGTAGCGGTTGGTTAAAGGAGAATGGAAGGGGGACACAGTCTTGCCAACTCAAACTCTGCCAAATAATTAACACAACTATTTGTCCTAAGTGCACGTGCGCGTGGGTCAAGTTGGCAACCCTGGCTTCAGCCCAAGCAACCGCTGCGATTCCTAACTACACAGCGGGCGAATTAGAAATCGCAGCGGGAGGTCAACCGCTATCGCTATCGCTCTTGGTGCATAAACAGCCCCATTTAACTCAATGGTGTTAGAAATCGCTCCCGCTGTCGCTACCGCTACCGCACTTGGTGCATAAACGGGGCCTTAGGAGCGTCTGTGTCTGTAATCAGCTGTGATGATAAGCTCAGCCTCGTCCATGCCTAGACCCAAGTAACCACTCATTGACACGGCGTTTTAATATGTTTAAAGTGGGGGAGTCAAAGAGATGTTAATGCTTTGAAAATTGTTTTGCAAGTTACGAAATAGAACGTGTGCAATATAAAATGAGTTGGTCGATGAAAATGATTTCTATAGTTGTAGTGATGAAATTCCAATTCGGGTAGAATATATATATAGTATTATGTGTATGAGAAATTATGGAGAAAATGTTGTTATAATTTTTAAAAATATGACTTAGAACATTTTTTATGAAAAGTTAACACAGTGATTATTAACGATAAGCATTAAATTAACTATATTATATTGATTTCATAGTGTTTTAGGTAGAAGCAGCAATCCATTTTACCCAAATAGGATTAACCTTATTGGGCGTCTTAGGTTGTAGTAAATGTTGATGGGCCAATAAATAACCATAGCATGTTACTGTTATAAAAGTAGTAATACTATAAAACTTTACTTTGAAATGGCAACCATACGAAGGTAGGTATTTTAACCAAGTCTGAATGGGGATTAGTGTAGGATGAGTGGCACGATCTTGTAGTCTTGTTAGTGACTAAGGCTGACACGTTCCTTAGACACAGCTGTTAATTAATAGCCCATACAGCCAATGACAACTAAGGGACCTACAGTTTATAGTGGAATCCGAACCACACTTTGCCTTGAAATTAACGAATTAGTCATTCCTATAAATATCCACATTTCGTGTGTAATATAGGGTTACTTAATATAATATGAAATAGCCATAACCATAGACTAAGAGCATGTTTTATCTATGCCATAACCATTGCAATTCTGTGAGTTTTAATTATTTCAATCTACTATAATCATTATGAATTGTGGTTCACAAGTATTAGTTTCATGGGTTTTTTAAAACACCGTAATCTATATGCTAAATACGATCCCTGGACAGTTTGTTCTAAATATGGCTTAAGAGTTACAAGCAACTATTATGCATTAAAACAAGCACCTTGGTTTGGATATTTGCAAACTGACCTTAGATTATGGACTTATGTTATAAAACTCGAAGCAAATCGAAATAAAAAATTACGGTTTTTATGTCTTATTTAACATTCAGAGAGTCCAGCTATTACATTTTGTTATATTACTAAAACAAAATTTAGCTGATAATTTCTTAATATAAATTCCATCTTGGCTCATTATTTTACGCAATTATGACTGAAGAGTTTAAAGGAAAAGTAGATTTTTTTATTTCAATTATTTATTTTAGGCTACTGATATATTTGAGTTATAGTCCAATTATTCTGCAGATTTTTACTTACATGCTAAGATTTCAAACTGATTATGTTTTTGGCCTCTTTGGACAACAAAACGAAAAAGTATTTCAATCCTGGGTCTAGATACCACATGAGATCTATTGTAATAGCACATTCCCTTTATGGGAAGTTTGTTAATATCAAGTTATATTTATGAGATTAAATTGTAAAAATTACTTATGTGAAATTTGTATGTTATTAGGTCTTATTAGTTATTCGTGTTCTTATAGTAATTAGGACTATTTCTTGTATAGTTGTGATATTTTACATATTATACGTGATGTTGGTTTCGAAAATATTATTTTGTTGGAGTTCGAGACTTTTAATAACGTCAATACCCATAATACCCATAATTATATCACCTGTGTCAACAAACTTGTGCAACTCCACATGTGCCATATTATCTATGGTAACGATATCGTACAGTGTTAGTCAGTTTGATCATTTTAGCTAACGAAGCAACTAACACAGGTAAATAATATATTTCTCTAGTTTAAAAAATCTATTTCATATAAATTCTCAAAAACCTTTTATAAAATTTATTTAACTGCTAGACCTTGTAGCTGTACGATTGTGCGTTTAAAAGTTTGTTTATTATTACAATGAATAACTTCTTGATTAGCATCGTACGTGTCATTAAATTACCTGAAAAATACAGAAAATATATACGTCTAATAACACTTGCAATAATATATTTACACTTATACTGTTGACTTATAAGACGCTAGACGCTTGCAAGACGTTAGACTGTTGATTTGCCTATTGGGTCTGATGATGATTGGAGTGTCCAATCGAAATCGATCACCACTTACCAACTTTTACATGTATTTACCGTCTTGTAAGTCAACAGTATAAGTGTAAATATATTATTGCAAGTGTTATTAGACGTATATATTTTCTGTATTTTTCAGGTTTATTATTACAGCCAGGAGTTCAAGCACTTGAAATCTGTTTGTTACATAGCAATTTTATAACATATCAAAGCTGATAATAATAAGATAATGAGATTTTACACTATTCTTTTATTTTCATGAAAACTATTTTATAGCGCTATATAATAAGAGAGGTGAGTGAGAACCCGTTTAAGTCTTCCTCTGCAGACTATTTACTACATTTGCAAGGCTATAATCCTACAATTGGAATAAGCAATGGAAAAGAAACGGTAGGAATACCATAAAACATCTCTAAATTATATAAAGATATTTTTTTTTTAGTGGGCATAAAATAATTTTAAATGCCATTAATGGTGGTAAAACAAATCCACATTTCAATCAAGCATTTTAATATGTTACATTTTAACTTCTGCTTAATTACTTACATTTAGCTTCATTCAGCACTGAGTCTATTACAAAAACATTTGAGAAATCACTCACTATAAAGTAGAAAACGTGTGTAATAGACGTAATCAAAACAATGTTTTAAAGTAGACAATGGATTCATTCAATTATGTGGTGTTTTTAAAACCTGGATTGAATTATATAGATTTCGTGGTGGCTGAACATGGAATAAAATTCACGAATTACTGAGGTAAGCTAACGAGAACCTTCAACCATAGATTAAGCATTCTCCCTTAGCTTTGACTGAACAATAAAGTCATAATGAGTTTTGAGCCTTGACAACTGACTATTAAACGATGAACTATTAGGTTTGTAAAAAATTAATAAATATAATTATCATAGATAGTAATGTGTGTTTAACAGATACACCGAGCTACAAAAAGAATGTTATTACTTGCGTTATTCTTTGCTGGAATCACAGCAGTCTTGGCTGATGATGAAGATAAACAACAACAACAAATCATGGATGTAGGAAAATGTAAATATATCGATTACCAACAGCTGAAGGACAATGAAGTTAATATGATTGCTAAGGTAATGTTTCATAACAATTTTACTAAGCCGTTAGTCACACCATAAGGTTTAATACTTCACGGATATTCACCCTGTATTCTAAATGCCAATGCTAAAACTTGAAATAGGTTTTGGGTTTTTCAGGAGTTTAGTTATATTAAATCTACATTGTTTATAAATTTTTGTATAATTTGTTGCATATTTTTTACTGAAGTAGTTATACAAGGAAACAATATTTATATCTTTCCAGCATCTGACGAGATTGCATGCAGTTAAATGACTGTTACAATATATTGTCCAGCTATGGTTCAAAGCACTTAAGTCGTTGTAGAAACATGTTAAATCACTCTACCTATGTTCTGTAGCTATTTAGAAATTAACAATTTTACCTGTTTAGCTAATTGCTGAACCAAGTACGTGGGCAGTCAAGTTTGCTGCTATTACCGAAGAAAGCAGAATGCGTCTCAATTCAATGGTGTTCAATGTTGAAGTTGAAAAGAAGACTGCTGGATTTATTCAGAAAATAACTCACCTAAAATTCGCATGGCAGTTGTAAGTAATGTGGAATTTACGTAATGAAAATATAAATGACTATGTAAATCCCTATTGTTGTCAAATAGCATGTACACTACTTTATTTTGGACCTTTTCCGTTAATTCACTAACACTAGTGAAATGTGGTTAGGTTAGGTTTTTCCAACTCTATACTTACCTAACCTTACCAAAGTTAAATTCACTACCACTTATATTATTAATTATATTATTAATTAATTATACTGTATATTATTATTAATTATATATTGTTCTATAATCTAGTAGTAGTAAATTAACGAAAAAGGTAAATTATCTATTTAGCTTTTTTTTACTCATAGGTATTTTTTAGCCTCCTGTTGAGCATATGCACCTGTTGTATTATTTTTGTTGTTATGTCAATATATGTCTTACCAGGAACCCAAATGACTTAAATAAAACAGTTTTGCACTTTTGTATGTATTAAACACAAGTAACATTCGTTAGTATATTTAAGGATTTGGGAATTCTAATTTGAATATTGCCACTGATTTTTGTTTTTTATTGCCAGTCTTGATAAATTATTGTTAGTATTCAACAACCACATTTCAAAAGCAGATGTTAAAATGTCTTAGTTGATTTTTAATTTGTATGTCAAAGAACTTCGCCTAGAAAGTACATTTTGTGTTACATAATAGTGTTAATTTGTTTTTAATAAGACCGCGATAAGAGAATAATCATCTGTAATACATGGAAATGCAAATGATTATTGTCTGGTTATATAGTGCTTGCCTTAAAATCTGAAGATTTCTGGTTCAATTCCAAGCGAAATCTTTTCCAGATCCAGATTCATTGTCATTGGCCTATGAACTAATGATGCTCTCTAGCAAAAAGGTTGATGGTAGATAGTAACAATATAGGGAATGGACCGTATTTTAAACTTAAAAATCCCATTGCTGTGGAAAACACAAAGTAAAATTCGTAAGACTTTATACAAATGACTTTATAAGACTTATTTAAAAAAATTTAATGTATGAGAACATTTACTATACAATTTTCAACATCATTCAGTGCTTACCTACAACACAAGCTTTTGGGTATATTTTTAAATGTTCTAAAGAAAAACTTGTTTAATAAAAAAAATCTTAAATAAGAGGGTTCTTTCCTTTTTCAACACTAATTCAAATTTATATTTTTTTTATAGCCAAGTAAACATTGTTATTTTTAGAGTTAGTTAGAGGTAAATTGGTTACAATTTATTAATAGCATTAATAATTTTACTTTTATTATTTTAGATTAGGTGGTAAAAGTGGTGAAAAGTCCCAACAAGAGAAAGTGACAGCATTTTCACAAGATTTTTTGAAATCAGCCTTACCTTACGCAGGTAAACTAAGATTATAAAATATGTAGAAAGGCCAAACTTGGGTCAACCTATTTTACTTTTGTGTTAGAGGATTTTTATTATAATTCAAATGGTTATCAAATCGAATACCATCGTAACAGTCTACATATGTGCGCAAAGACTTATTAACAAACATAAAATGTGTCTATAACTGTCCAATTATATTTTCAACATTGTGTTTGAGGTTATATAACGAGTATTACAGTTATGCCTTAGTTTGTCATTAATTTCGTTCGACTTAATCATTTCGTAAATTTTGGACCCAGTTTGTAGCGGGGGGGAGAAGGAAATGGAGACATTAATACTTGGGGGGATATTGGTGGGAATTCGGGATTTATGGAGGGGATATTGGAGGGAATTCGGGAATTGTTGAGGGAATAATGGGGTAATGCTGATAAGTTGGGAATCGCTATATCTGGACCAAACTTAAGTTAAGCGTGCTGAATCTGCTGCCAATAATTATAGGAAGATTGCTGGGGACCAGAGGTAAGCCTACGGAGATCTTTTGCCCAGATCACACACTTGCCTAGCCAGCTTTGGTTTATACTAATTTAACTAACTTCCTAAATATATCATTTCAAACACTAAGAACTGAACATGGTGAATTGATTGCTAATACTGCTGAGTGAATGAATGTTGTCTGGTGTTTTAATTTCTGAATGGGAAATATCTATGCATTTAACTGACAAAAGGTGCTGAACAATCTACACAAATAAATATTTATGTACTATGAAACTCGAAGTTAGCAACAAGCTGAAAATACTATAAAATTTTAAAGTCTTTTTAAGAATTCTCGAATTGAATTATTATACCTTACCCGTACATTTTATTTTTAGACCCAAATGGTAAAGATGCCAAAATCGAGATGAAGTATTATTTTCTGAAAAAGGATACACTTACTCTCCAGAGACATGGAAGCCCAAAGAAATACGAATACATATACATCTACAAATGCACCAATGATGATCGTAAGTCTATGAAAAGATTTTCAAAAAGAGTTGTTTGAATGCCAGACATGTCGCTTCCTACTACACATATCAACGCCATATGTTTTATTTCTTACACAAAAGATAATTTAATGTATAATTGAAGTGTCTTCACCCAACTCAAATAGTTATTTGTGTAACTAGTATGCGAAGTGGCACTTTGCAGTACACGAGAGAAATGTTTACGCACGAACCGTAGACGAGTGTGGAATGTTTCTCGAGTGCAGCAATGGCAGTTTGCACTCGTGTTACACGTTATATTTTTCCTAAAGATACTATAAATCATATAAATAATTAATATTTTACACACTGTACAACACTTTTTAAGGTTAGGATAAATATTTTACCCACGTTTCTGATGTATTGCTAAAAGCTGTTTAATTTTAAGGTGTTGCAAAACCTAACATCGACGCTCGATATGTCATCTTTAGCGAAGGCGATCTAAATACAGAAGAGGTTAAAGACGTGGCCAAACTGGATGAAGAATTAATGCAAACATTTGGATTCTCCAACAAATTGGTGTTTGTAATATAAGCTTGTACATTGTACATACCCCAACGTAAATGACTCATATTTTGTGTAAAAATTTTGTTGAAAAATAAATAATTGTTTGAAATATGGTGGTAATTGTTATACATAATTTTCTTTGTTTTCAATAACAAATTTCTTCCATTTACGGTATCTTTCACGAACTAAATCATAAAGTGATGGTTATTTACACTTGTTTTTTTCCAAAACACATTCTATTGAAATTCTTATAACGATTGTTTTATTATTGAAACTTTACCGGTTAAGTATTTTAAATATTATTGTTATAGAATTTTTTTCTTTTTTTTACTATAGCAATGCGTTTTAGAAAGATTTGGCATACAATTAAATCTTTTTTTGGTTTAAAACACAACCAAACATTATTTTTTTCAGCTTGTAAAAGTATTTTCTGTGTTATATAGTAAACATATGAACACTTGTTTTTTAGTAAATATAAGAAAACATTTTTAAAACATCTCTTAAGGTTATCCACTGTTTTGCTCATACTTGTGTTATATAATAGCACGTTTTTCACGTAGCCTAATGAAACATAATATACGCCTTATTAAAACATTTTTATGAGCTTCATAAAATATTTATTTCCTAATCATGTAATTAAATATCTTTAATAGTTTTTATTTTATTTTTGTAAATTATGACCTTGATTTTTTTTCTTTTAGCTATATGTTTTTATTTTTTTTACAATAGTGACATAGGTACGGTATACATAAAAAAACATATGTGAAAAAGAAATTAGAAAATTTAAGTTGGGTTTTATTAATTTTTATTTTCCAAGGGTTTAAGGAGTACAAATAAACCACAGCACAACATAGTGCAAATAAGGTCTCCCTAAGGAGACATCACTCTTCAAGTTTTGCCCCATGACGTCCATATGTAAGAACCACAATCTTCCTTTTATTTGCTTTACTTGCAAATTTAACACAACGAAGCTCTATACATATGTAAATTCATCCACGAAAGTTTAAATGGCAAAATTCTTTTTATCGTCTTTAGGACAGTTCAATTTAAACCGAATTTTAAACGGATTTTTATGTAAAAAAGTGTATTGGTCATGTTCTCCGTTTCGCTTCATTCCCTGTAATTGGCGATTGACCAGTTTAGCTTCAGAATCATCATTTCATAAATATTTTCATTAATTTTCTTTTGTTTTACTGAAACATTTTTATAAATTTTTGTTTTTTATCATATACATTAATTATTTAGTAAGTCACTAGTAGTGATTGAGCCTACTCACATGCTTCCAGCCCATGTAGTTTTATAGGTTACATGCTAAATGCCATTTTTAAAACTACAAATTCTTTGTAACTATATTTGAGCTTACATTTATATTTTATTTTAGCAATAGCAAGGTACATGTCTTGTTAATTGGAAACCCTTAGCCTAGAGATTAAAGTTTATTTACGTTTGATTTTGATTGTTGTAGAATGTTTTCTAGATGTCATCAATGAAACATCAGATTTGTTAGACTAGATTATTCAAACTTGCTTGAATTTAATGTTATGAAAATATAAATTACCAGAATTAAAATATGCCATACAGCTCAGGTTACTACTTTCAGGGGAAATCTAGCATTTCATCGATTATGTTTGTCTCTAAAACTAATATACTTTTGGTAGTTTATACAAGTGAGGATTCAGGGAATACCTCACGTGATTGAAATTTGCAATTCATGATAGAGACCTGCGGGCCTCAGAGACCTAAATTGAAATACACCGCGTTGTATGTAATGCATCAGACTTTGATAAACTGACAGGCTCACATTTGTGTTTTTATCTGGCGTAATTGCACATGCTTTATCAATTTACATTTAATATGCACCCTTCATGTTTGCATTAGGGTAATTTCAACTTGTCTGTAAAATAATGTTGCAAGCAGACATTCAAAATGGTTTTTAAATTAGTAGTTTTAATTTTAAAATGTTTAATAGGATTTTAGTTGGATCTCTCGGCCACTGCTTGCAACATATAGTATAGTGTAGACTCATATTGTATATATTATTAGAAACATCCACAAAGAAATATTATAATGACCTACAATACATTAAATATTGTAAACCACACTTCTAAATGAAATGTAATCAATACGTCGTATATTTAGGGTGTGATCCGTGCAGTACGTTTTTAGTTCTACCACAAATATAATTCCATTTCATCCATACTAAAAAGACCTATCATTATCATTAGCTACAAAAGTAAAAAATAGTGCTTAAGTGTATAACTCATGAATTTACTACATTGATCTTTATTTTTTTACGCTATATGCTATTTCAACTGACATACAGTTTATCATCAATGCTGGTCAGGTGACAAATTTACTAAAGTTTTCTCAGGTTGTATAGGTTTATTTTAAGGACAATTATTTTCATTAGGTGTATAAACTTTTAGCGTTTTATATCAATTAACAAAATTTATATTTTGTTTCGATTATTCAAGTATTAAAGAAGCATATCGAGAAGGCATTAATAATATTTTGGTGATAAATATTTTTTGATTGAAAGAAAATAATTAAAGTATACAAATCCATTTTACCACTGTCTGTACATTTTATAATAGGAAGCAAAAATTTGAAATGATCAAATTATTCCCTTTATTTCCAAAATAATATTACAACAATCTGTAAATTAAGGATCTCAAAGGAGACATTTCCATTTAAGATCCCTCCCTAGATATGCATATAAACTAGTTGTGGTCCTTAAAGCTATAACGATATTGCGAGATAAAGCATTATATCTCTTATTCATGTGATAAGATATCCAAAGTTGGTGCTAGAGTTTACATGGTATAAACAGATAGTTGTTTTACCTGTTGCTAGTAAATTGATGCACAATATTTCTACACTTACTTATGTTTTATGCTGAATCGTCTAACTGAATTTTCCAAGGTAAAACAATAAATAAATAGTATTTATATACATGATGTATTCGCCTGAAATAATTAATTAGTTTTACTTTAATGTAATTACTAAAAAGAGCTAAAATAATTTAATTACTTCACTTGTTTTGAAGCCAAACCTAAAACTGACATGATATTATTTATAAAAATTATTATGATTTTATGCAAAAAACATATTTGTTTGGGTGAAACAACAAATATACGAAAGTTAATAAAGGAATACCTAAACAAGAATAAAATTAGTATCCATTTAATATCTTATTACTGTGAAAACATAACTATGCACTCCTTTCTATGGCATGAAACTATACATATATAACTATACATATTTGAACTTGTGGAAATTGTTCCCGGTACCCTGAAATAAAGTGTTTTGAGATGTAAGTCCCCGTAAAATTACACATGATTTCAACGACCGTTTCAATAGAAGATTGTTGGGAAATTTCAGAGAGGAGAGTTTTGTGGATTAAAAGGCTGAGAAATGATTAAAAGGCTTTTCTAAGAAAGGCTGATAAAAAATTCCAAATAAGTACCATTTTTATTACGTTGAGTTTATACTGTTTTCACTTCCATTCTTCTTTAATAAATACCTTGAAATGAGGGGCCACTTGATGGGGTTTTACTTTTAGAATACCTTAGCTGCCCATGTTGGGGTCCCACCAAATGATTTTGAAGCTAAATACAAGCTGCGTTGTATTATGTAAAAATATAAAACTGTTTAGTGAGTTTAGTTTATCTGGCGCACCCCATTAAAATGTTAAGAGAGAGAATGCACACCTTTTACATTATACTTCAGTGCAAAAGAAGCCATGTAGATGTATTTTTGATACATTTAGCTATACTCGCCACCAATGGATTGAGATAACAATTTTTTGCCCATCTTTTTTTGTAAGGACCTTTTTTGAAATTAGCTGTCACGCGATTGTGTTTTTTCGAAAATTGTAAGCTTTTCCTGAAATAGCCCATTTTTGGACCCCGAGTGAAATTTTAACAACCAAAATGTTCACTTTCATGCCATTTGATAAGTTCACTAGTATTTCACCTGCAGTAACTCCTTGAACGTTGAGAGGGCGTATTCATTATTTTGCCTTATCTGAATTGTTTATTTTTGTCCAAATTAACCTAATAATTGTCCTAATTGTTAACTTTTGTCTAATATAAAAGTCAATTAACTACTTATAAAAGTTAGCAACAAGGATCAACATTGTGTTTTCCCTTCAACGAAGTAGCCTGTTTACATTTAATTAGGCAGCAATTAAGTCTAACAAGTACAACAACACTATGAAACAAGATGTTGTAGGGTTAGAGCTTTATAAGCGTAAGTAAAATATCCCAAATTTTTGAAAGGTGGGTTAAAGTTAATGTTTTCGATTATGAATGGTATTGCACAAGAAAGCTAAACTTAGCAATATATTTATTTTCTAGCTTGAACACGTATTGGAAGAAAATAACGGAAACCAAATTTTACTAGCATAAAATGTTCACCACGCCAAAAAGTAATTGAATCATACAATTTCGGAATACAATAATTGTAGTCGGATTTTTATTTAAAAGTGTAATAAGACACGTAAATTAGTGTGTATTTACTTTATAAATGAAAATTTAAACAGGCGATCTTATATTACTTTACACTCCTTATCCGGAGACTAATTTTATTTATAACGGGAATTAAATAGATTATTTGTAATAATTATTAAAATTGTCATGGTAAATACAAGAAAATGATATGGAATATATCAGCCTTAGTTACCTCTAAAATTGTTTTTGGGTTAAAATACGCTCATAGTGGCGTCCCCATGTTAAATAATTGATAATTGATACTATAATACCGAGATCACTATCGAAGGTATTTCCAATATATTCCACCCAATCAATATACTACATAACGCTCATCCGATAAAGTATTTGGAATGTTCCATTACTGATCAGTGTGCTTAGTATTCGATAGATAAAAATAATCTACACCTGAAATACATTCTGACCTGAATTTTATTCATAGTTAAACATAGCAACTTTAAAAATAATTCTATATTAATATTATTTTAATATTATTCTACATACCAGGTTTTAGAACAATAATTGTCGAATTATACTAATATCATGAACATTTACAATGTGGGATTGATTTAAAAATATATACACCAAGTGTGACCCAAGCAATTTACAAATTCATAAA